GTTTCAAAAAAAAAAAAAAAAGTAAATACAAAATTAAAAATATCATAGAAATTCCTGTAACTCAGGGCTGCTTATTACATTCTGGCTGGAGACAGCTGTTTGCCCTAAAAGCTTTGAGCCTGAGGCCTGTACTTTCTTAATTAAAAAAGGGAGTTTAGCCAATGTTAGAGGGTTGGTAGAGACATGCTGGCCTCAGACCCAGCTGGCTTCTTGGTAATGATCCGAAGGTTTATGGACAGAGTGAGGAGCACGGAGTAATGAGTTTCTCATGGTGTGCCTCCATGTGGCTTCATGCCGTGCGCTCCTTACCGCCTCGCTGTCTGCACCTCCCTCATTTTGGGAGACAGCACAGATCCTGTAGTCACATGGACTGGGGTGTGAATCTGACTTCAGCATTTCCCGGTCCTGGGGCCTGGGTAGGTGACAGCGTCTCAGTTTCCTCACTGGTAGAATGGGGCTGAGAGCAGCACCCACCTCTTGGGTTGGCCGTGTGGGTTCCATGCACTGAGGGTTGCTCCGTGCTTAGCGTGGGTCGTGTGCACAGCAAGCGGTCCCTGAGCACGGCTGGGGTGTGCGTCAGGGCTGTCGTTGGTGCGTGTCTCCTCTGGATACCCAAGGTCATGTAGGTGCTCTCTGTGGCTGTTTTCTTGTGGTCTCACTGGCTTCCTTGAGAGATGCTCCAGGGGAAGAGATTCTGGCCCAAACCGTCCCCTCCCCAAGAGACCCACTAAATGCCCTCTGTCTGAGCCATGCCCAGCCCCCTGCTGGGTCTCCCAGGGTCCGGTGTGGGTTGCTCCAGGGGCAGTTTAAATGCTTCCCAAGAGCAACCCCAGAGAACTGCATGAGACTCTCAGCCTTGTCGATTACGCACATTGATGGGGATTAATAGCAGTGACAATGACGTGTGGAGTTACGGGGCACTTCCAGTTGGTCAGGCACAGAGCTGTCACCCCAAGGCCCGGAGGAAGCCAGGTAATTACCCTCCATCCCCAGGGAAGAAACAAGCCCAGAGAGGTGGGCCACGGCCCAAGGCCACCCCACCATGAGTGCTGAGGTCTGTCCGCTGCAAGTTGCTTGTAGGCCATGAGCCACGTCACCTCTCTCCTGATCTAACCTTGGAAGGGCTTTTGGGACCGGCCCTGGGCCGCGCTTGTCCAGAGCCCTCTCCTGGGAGGCCCTGCACCTTAGCCGCCTCTCTCTGCTCTCAGAATGCCGACGGGAAGCTGACCCTGCAGGAGTTCCAGGAAGGGTCCAAGGCGGACCCGTCCATCGTGCAGGCGCTGTCCCTCTACGACGGGCTGGTATAGTCCTGGGCCAAGCCGGAGCGGGGTGAGTGTGCACTCGGGGCCTGGGGTGGGTCTGGGGTGGGTCCAAGGTAAAAATCCAGCACCGGGACACCTAGCGTTGGCAGGTAAGTACTTGGGTCTCTGGAGGCTTTGGGGTCAGCCCAGCGGGGACATAGCTGGGAGGGGAGGCTGGAAGGGGAGCTTTCAGATTGGTCAGAGCTCCTCTGTTTTGATCATTTTTTATAGACCCAGATTGGCCTGTGAATTTGCTTGAACAGAGTTTTTCTGGGTGGGTTGGATATGGTGGCTCATGCCTATAATCCCAGCACTTTGTGAGGCCGAGGTCCGGAGTTCGTAACCAGCCTGGCCAACGTAGTGAAACCCCTATCTCTACTAAAAATACAAAAATTAGCTGGCCATGGTGGTGCGCGCCCATGGTCCCAGCTACTCGGGAGGCTGAGGCAGGAGAATCACTCGAACTCTGGAGGCGGAGGTTGCAGGGAGCTAATATTGTGCCACTGCTCTCCAGCCTGGGTGACAGAGCAAGACTCTAACTCAAAAAAAAAAAAAAAAAAAGAATTTTCCTGAGTGGAAGACACTTTGAAAATCAGTTCCCAACCAGGACCAGGGGCCTCGGAGAGCAATCTCTCAGTCCCTCTCTGAGCAACCGGTCAAAGACCTAAGCTCCTGGCTGTCTGGATCAATAGCTCAAGTGTGTGTGTGTGTGTGTGTGTGTGTGTGTGTGCTGTCCAGTTGGATTTGTTGTAAGTGTAGAATGATAGCATGCCTGGTGTGTGTGTGTGTGTGTGTATGTGTGTGTGTCCTGTCCAGTTGGATTTGTTGTAAGTGTAGAATGATAGCATGCCTG